TCGGTTGGTTGTTTGGATGGATGGATGCTCGGTTGGGTGTTTGGATGGATGGATGCTCGGTTGGATGTTTGGTTGGCTGGACAGATAGTTGGATGGATGCTCGGTTCGGTGGATGGATGGATGGATGCTCGGTTGGTTGTTTGGATGGATGGATGCTCGGTTGGATGTTTGGTTGGCTGGACAGATAGTTGGATGGATGCTCGGTTCGGTGGATGGATGCTCGGTTGTTTGGATGGATGCTTGGTTGGATGTTTGGATGTTTCACATCCCAGAGGAAGTTGTAGTTATTCAGAACTGGCAGCATCATGTTCAGTTAAAAACAAAACTTTATGAAAATCAAACTTATGGTGTCCTTCATATACAATAACAATAAGACATTTATTTATAGGAACCTTTAATAAAGACCCACAAGGTCGTGTTAGATTATACAGCAAAATAAAAACATATAAACAAATAAAACTATAAAACTAAACAAGGTAACAATAGAATAAGCCCAAGTAATAATGAAGGGCCTGCAGTTCTGAGACGTGATTTACAAATAGAGAGTTTATAGTCCGGAGACGGAGAGGTATCGTTGCAGTTTTAAGAGATGAGACAGGAGAGGACAGTATTAGTGATCATCGACCCAAGAGAGCAGACTGAAAGTTTAACAACATTAAGATTGGATCGAGTTACTAATAATAGAAGATTTTTGAATTATTATAGGAAGTTTAAAACTGGAATAAGAAGGCGACAGTAGGAATTACCATATCAGCAGAAGAAGGCAGCTGTAAATGAAGATTCACAGGTTTGGTCTAAGAAAGTCCATAAATGTGTGTGTGCAGCAGAGTGTGTGTGGTAACGGTATCTGAAGGCTTAACAATACTGTATGATGTCAGAGTACGAGTGTAGTGAGCAGATACAGCCTGAGAACGAGCTTCTTTCTAATGCTAGATATGTGAGATACACGTCCTTATGAATAGATAGATAGAACTTTATTAATCCCTCGGGTGGGTTCCTCTGGGAAATTCGATTTCCAAAAAAGCACAGCAACGACCGAAGTTACAGAGTTACAGAATATTACACACACACACACACACACACACACACATATATAAATACAGAGACAATATAAATAAAATATACGAAGGGGATAAATAGAATAAATAGGAATAAAAAATAAAAATACAAGTGAATTGCACATTTCAAGTATTGAGTCTATTGCACTGTTGACTATTTACAAAAGTATTGCACAGTGAGGTGAAGAGGCACTACAGCTTAGTTGTTCCCCCCTCCTTTGTCCTCCTGTTTCCTCCAGTTTGAAGAGACAGCTTTGAGTGCGAGCCCACCAGGCAAGGCTAGCTAGCCCACTCTGGTCAGCCTGGGTCAGCCTGGGTCAGCCTGGGTCTGCTGAGGCTGCGCTCGCAGCTGGCTCTGCTCGCCGTACCTCACCAACCAGCTCTCCACCTGCCGCAGGTTCTGTTAGAGCGAGGCTCCACTCACGGAGGAGCTCCAGAACCAAATCGGGACCGCCGGCTGCAGCCCAACATGGAGGAGTCAAGTCGGGAGCAGCCGAATGACATCAGGGACGCCACAACCCAGCACGAGGGAGCCGGGAGCAGCAGCTCGCCAGCGAGGAATCGATCACGGGTGACATCACGCTCTCAGAGGCACCAGAAAATAAAAATGAAGCAACAAACGATCAGTGGATGTTCCAGGACACGGATTTATATATCGATCATGAAACCGTCAGCGCGGAGCGAAGGCGCGACGATGACACCGTGAACCTCAGTGTCTTTGTGACCTCACATCTCGCTCACGTATCACATTTTGAGCATCAGCATGAATACAGCGATTGCTTTCTGTTGCCATGGTTACCCTGCAAACAGGAACTGTTAGCAGCTAATGCGGTGTGACATTTAGCAGGTCACAGAGTGGGAAAAGCTTCCTTTTACATACGTAGGCGGAGACACTGAAGAGGTTATTCCTGAAAAAAGTGATAAATTATGGAAACAGGTGGCGGCGGGCGGCGAGCAGTGGTTTCTGTTTTTATCAGCTTCTTTTTGGGTGTGGAGCGAAAACTCGAGCAGGTACTTGTCTGTTACTCTGGAGATAAAAATACAGAATTCATTCAAACTGAGGAGACGCTCTCCGTCCGCTTTGATAACACCTGATATCCTCCTTCAGTAACATCCAACACACAAACATCCAGTTCAACCAGTGCTCAGTGCAAATGCTCCCAGCCAGCGTCAGCATTTAAACGTGAGAGACGGGGCACATCTAACTGCAAACACGTTAATGCGCCGTGTGCGGCTGTGTTTCCTTCTCCAGCCTGCAGTCTATTTATAACCCGAGTGTTTGCTGCTGCATCGACCAGCCTCTCCTGAAGGATCGATACGGCCTCGTGTGCGCAAACGTCACCGAGCCGAGCAGGAATACTTTTAATTTAACGCACCTATCTGCCGCCGTCGTCGTGGGAATGTGTCCGTTGTCCATCGGCCGTTCTTCGCTCGCAGTTGCTCTTTACATAAACGCACTTTTTAAAACATAAAAAAAACCTCAGGCACGAAGAGGAAATGAAGTCAGAGTTTTGAATGAGAGTCTGAAAGTGGGAAGTGGTCAAACCACCGTGTGGACTACATCTACTTCCCTTAATGAGCTTCCCTTTACTGGACCGGGCGGTCAGCAGGCCTGCAGGCAACTAAAGGTTGTCTCATAACATAATAATTCATTCAGTGATCCATGTAAGTATGATGGATCAGAAAGCAGCAAAGGCATGTTTGTCAGAGATTACAGAG